GAGTACAAATTCCATTTCCGGTACATCACCAAAGGCGGGAATCGAACTCATGTGGAAGTGGCTTAAGCTTCTCAGTGCTGTGCTTTAACCCACTGCGCCACCAGGGAGGGCCTCTTTTTTTTAATCCTGATGAAATCTCATCTACTATATCTCTTTGGGAAGAGAAAGAATACATCCCAACAAGAACTGATGGTCATGAACATGAGTACAAATTCCATTTCCGGTACATCACCAAAGGGAAATATTTAGTGCTATTATAATAAATCTACTCCAGACACTGTCAATGACAGGAAATGGAGTAAGAAGGGGTTTTTTCCACACAAAGGGAAAAACTTTGCCTTCTTGGGTGATGATAGTTTGCACAGTCAAACCCTCTCATCCAACACACTCAGGTCTGCGGTGACTGACAAAAGCTGATTAAAGCACAAAGTACTTTTAATAAGATACAAAAAGGAAAACTTTGACAAGGTGCTGCCTTGCTTTGCCTGTGATGAGGCACAGGGTAAGGGGGGTTACCCACTTACCACACACTAGGAGACAGCACCCTCACTCCCTGTTGGAGGGCACAATCTTGCTGTCAAGAAGGACCTAACTGAATGCCATGTGGACCTTCTTTTGTGAACCACCCCAAAACGTGGTCTATGACCTCCTAGCTCAGTTTCTTTGAGGTGCAGAGAAAACTGAAGATACTTGTGAAAACTAGGATCCTTTCAGATTTTGATGATATCCTTCTACTAGTCACAACCCACTTACACTGAAAAAGTGTAATTGTAGTGACTAGTTTTGAAATCTTTTCAAAAAGAGTTAATTTTCAAAGCAGTGATTTTTTTCTTCTACACACATACGAATAGTCACACATTGTTTCATTAAATTACAGTAATTGCAATAACGAGGCAACAGACACAGGGAGGTTTAGGAACAAACACAGACCCAATCAGCACCCATAGAAGCCACACAGGAGGACACACATCTTAAGAGAGGGTTGGACCAGCAGCCGACGCAGAGCCTGCCTTGAGAACACAACATGTGTGTTTTAAGGAGCACTATGAGACTAGAATGCTCAAGTGAATGCAGCAAGTTAGTGCCATGGAAGTTGGTTAGAAAATTCCTATATTGAAGTGTTTACATATACAGTGCATTACAGTAAATTTCCTAAAAAGTTCTCATTCAGATTTTGATCTAGCCCATTTTAGTGGTTGTTTTTGTTTTGACACTCCCACTTTTTAATCTAACCCACTGCCTTACAACTCCAAGGAAATATCACTCCATACTCAGCCCTCAGATATGGACTGGTACGCAGTATTTCAACCAATATTTAATGTCAACATGTTAACACACGTTCTGTGGTTTGGTTTATTCTAGATCCAGAGTGGCGAGAGTCTGCACAATCATAGGTCACAGGCATTGTCAGAAAGGCATGATGTATACACATGAAATAACTGAATATGTACAACAACTGAGCCAATACAAGCAGGTGCCTGCACATGTTTTATGGTCACTCAGAGCCATGGATGGCTGAGAAGCAAATGTTCAGTTAACTGAAGATCTCCAGATATGACTTTGCTTCTGACAGATGAGACTTCCAACCCCTCACGATTGCTACATGGTCACTCACTGGCCACAGTCAAAGTTGTTACTTGAGATACTTGCAGCCTCACCATAACTGAACACCAAATGAAGATTACACAGACCCCCTTCCACAGCCAGCAACAACTCACCCCATCCCGGGGCTCCAACAGGGGAGCAGGGGGAGGAGGAAGGACCAGAAAAACACCCACCCCCTTCCTCCAAGCACATGGTCCTTCTGGTATAGACCGGACCTAGATAACATGACCCAACCATAGGCCTAAGTCAAGACCACACATACATTGCATAAAGGAAAATTGCTCGGAAATGACCTTCTATAAAGTGAATTCTTGTTCCTTTTTTCTTTTTATCATAGTACTTACTTGCCTCAACATGGTCCAATGATGGGGAAACCAGGTGACAGTTTTTGAGACTCTTCACATAGGGCAGCCAAAGGATCCATAAAAATCATGGATTCAGGAATGACACCCCCTCCCAGGTTCCTAGGTGACCACAGGCAAGCCATAAACAGGTTCTCTCTTCATCACACTGCTCTGTGCACACCAATACAGTGCCCTGAGTGTTCCCCTCAGTCACCTCATGAGGGTGTCTAAATCCCCTTTGGCGCACACCAATACCCTGTCCCACCGTGCCCTGGAGCAAGTACAGGAGGCACAAAAAGTCACTTCAACAACTGGAGTGTTTCCCTGCACAGCCTGAGGAAGAACCTCATCTCTCCCAGCAACATCATGAAGCACATCCCTCATCTCTCTGACCCCTGGCTCTCTACTGCCTAATTGTGCAGCAAGGGAAGTCCAACTAAAACCGCCAGGTGTTGCTTCACTCAAACTCTCAGCCCGTGCCTGATAGAGGCTGTTTAGGAGAGTCAACATGAGAGCGAGCACTCTATCTTATTCCCACAAAAGGCATTTCTCATCAGGTGTTGAGCCACCAAGGCAGATGGCACGCGTCCGCTTGCATAGAAATCACTCACCGATGCAGGCGTGGACCCTCACAGACAGCTGTGTCCTCAAAATGATACTGTGCTTCTTGCCCCGCCTAATGGAGGGGAAACAAAACAGACAGGCATCAGAGGGTTCAGCAAGACGACGCCTTCGTGCTGTCAATCAACTCGAGGCTCTGACTATGGAAGTGGCTGAGAACAGACCCACCTGAAAGGCTCCAGACAAGCAGGGACACAAATAAAACAAAAATCCACAGGGGGCTTTCAAGAAAACAAAATAAAGGTTGACACTGTTGGACTGGCACATTTAATTGCTAAACACGGTCGAATTGTTCCCTCCAAAATTTTCACACCATCAATCTTGACTATGTTGGGGAATTTTAAAATCTGTGCCCATGAAGTCAAATCCCTGGAATCTAACAACACAGATCTGCTTGGTCATTCCCGTGGCTGGTTTGTTTTTTTTTTTTTTTTTTTTTTTTTTTTTTATTTATTTGTACATACAGAACTGGGGTACAGGCCAGAAGCTCAGGGGCGGCGAGAGGCTTCACCAGAGACAGAGTGGGGAACAGAACAGGCAGCTCGACGAAGTACACTGCTGAGGGGAGCAGCGGGCGGGTCAGGAGAGGTCTGCCACGCCATGTGGTCACCTCCAGGGCAGGCGGGAATCGAACTCATGCGGAAGCGGTTTTAGATTCTCAGTGCTGTGCTTTAAGCCGCTGCGCCACCAGGGACGGCCTTGTTTGTTTTTTTTTTTTTTTTGGATATAAGGCTGGCACACATTGGGGTGGAGGGCATCAAAAAGATGCTTTGCTGCATCAATTCAAGACCATCATGGCTTTTCTCTTTTACAGGATGAAGGGAGCCCGCCAAGGGTTTATAAGCTATTTACTATCACCATGGGACCACACCTCTTCTCCCCTCGGCTTCTTTCTCACTCCATTCTTAGGAAGGAGGAGGCTGGCCTTCTCACTCTTCTACTGGAGCCCATTGTCCTGCTTTATGCAGCAGCAGCTGACAGAAGATAAATGGGAGAGAACTTGAGTCCTGGTTCCCTGAGCTAACAAAGACTTTGAGGCCTGGAGAAGGGGAGAAGTCATGGGCAAAGGCGACAGGGAACCAGCCGACCAGCCACCAGCTGGGCCTCAGGGGCCGAATTCTCATCCCAAACTTGGACACTCATCTTTGCCCACCAGAGGTCCATCTAGAACAAAATTTGCCTCGCAGTTTTATTGCTGTGTAAAAAAGAGGACATGATGTCTCACCAGGACAAACTGCTGATATCGTGATTATAAATTCACATTAGTTATGTTGTATTACCAACATATTTTTTCATTCTTGAGATAAGATAGGAAGATATGGTGTGGAAAAGTGCTTTTTGATTCTTTTACAGAAGTAGTCCTGTAAAAGCACAGTGGTCTCCAGACCGAAAGCAGTCTTGTAGACAATCTAATTCACGGTCCCTTAAATCCAGCAAGTTCCTCCGTTCTGTGTTCAATTGGTTATTCTCTAGGCACTCTATGCAAGGTGCTTTCAACAAATACACAACACATGGCCACCTTCAGAAGACACACTGATAGTCTTACAAAGCAAGACTTTTCCAAAATGTTTTCTTCCCATACCAAACAATCACCCCAACCTTGATATTCCTTCAATTCTAGGGATTGCAGTAGGAAGGAAATTTCAATTAAGTGCCCTCCACTATACTATTGAACAGCTTCGGTGAGAACTGACAGAAATGGTGTTCTAGGTGGGGTCAGAAGCCACTGCCTCACACAGAGCTGGGCAGGGGTTAGGCTGGGAACAGAAACCAGTGAACCCCTGATGATGGCCAGACCCTAACGATGGGAAGCAGCAACCCTCGTCCTCAAGTCTAGAGAACATTCTGTAACTCAGTTATCCATGGATGCAAGTGAAAAATAAGTAACAAATGAACATGTTTTAGATGCCCAGTATCAGGAAGCATGGGCAGGCCTGGGAAAATGTTTCATTATACCTCAATTTCTGGCAAATTTCAAAAGGACCCACTGGTAGACGCTTTCATTTTCAAACAATGGCTAAGTTGCACTTTAAGGACATGCTTAAGTTTTTCCACAGATTTCAGAGTCCTCAGCGAGCATGTGGGGTGGTTGCTCTGGGATTTCAAGCTTCTGCACAAAAGCCGGAGGAAGCAGCTGGCCACCCTGTGGGCTATCATCTTTTCTGTGCTTGTGCACTGGGAAGCCAGGCGACTGGGTAAAGCCAAACCCTAATGAAATGTAAGAAGCACAGAGATAAAGATCCCTTTTATTTAGTACTTTTATCACTTGTAACACCTCTGCATCAATATTCTACCTTCTCTGACTCTGTACACAAAATCCTGCAATGGAAGACACCAGTGTGGAAGTGACAGCCAAGGGCAGTGGAGGCTACTTGACAGGGCATGTGGCCCAGCACTCAAGTGTTCCAGGTCAATGGTGGGCTCAGGTGCTTTGGCAGAGGCAAGGGGGCAGTGAGTGTGGCCAGGTGCACAGAAGGCATCCATCTCCCACTCCTCCCCAGAGACCACCTTCTGCCCACTTTGAGATGGACACTATTATTCCATTCTGCCCATTTTGCAGGTCAGAAATACCTGCCCAGCCTGTAGAAATGACATGGCCAGCATGAGGCCACACAGCTGCTGGAAACACCTGAGCTAAAAGCGGAGTGTCCACTTCTCAGACACCTGTGCCCTCCGCCTTTTCAGGTACAGATGCCTCGCTATATAACCTCCTCCTCCAGAGATCATAGAGAAGAATCCCAGCTTTGCTAAGGAACTGGTCCAACCTCAACACTAAAACCTAATAGAGGACACAGAAAATAAGCTGCAAATGTCTAAGGAAATACTGGCAAAATACAACAGGCCCAAATAAGGTTTATCTCAATTCAAGAATTACAGAAGTCCAATGTTTTATTCACATATGCATCAAATATCAAGGCATAGCCAACACCCAGTGTTGAGGACCCTCTAAATTTGCCACTATATTTTCTCATTGGTTAATGCTGACATTTTAAAGAAAGGTTTCTGTTTATGTATTCTCTTAAATAGGCCACTCTCATTATTACTGATTCTGAAGATATTTTGGCTAATTCTTTTTTTACTTATTTTAGGGACATAATCATAATTTAAAATAATCATTTTATTTCCCATGGTCTAGTATCATCTACTTCTACTTCATGGCTAAAATGTTCAGAGAAAAATGAAATAATCCTTTCTTCTGCCCAGTCAGATAATAAGTCATTTTGGTTTCAGAAAATAATCACAATAAAGTGTTAACGTTGGTGGAATGTTTATCATGTGCCAAATGAAGTATTTTAGACAGATTGAATTATCATCACAAAAATCCTAAATGGTAGGTAACATTGCCATGTGAAAATGAGAAAACTGAGGCCAGCAAGGGTTAAGCACTGTAACTGAAGTCACAGAGTTAGAGACTGACAGAGTTTGGATCCAGCCCAGGGAGTGTGACCCAGAGCCTGGGTTGCTCTTACCTCCCTGCAGGGGGCTCCCAGATGGGTGTTGCTGCATCACGTGGGAGAGCCCTCGCTCCACACACAGCCGCTGGTGACGCCCCTGTGCTGGACTCTAGCTGAGGCACACGGGCTGAATTCTGTCTCAAGACAGCAACACAGAAATCCTGCCTGAGGCCTGTCCTGTAGATCTGGGACTCAAGACGGCAGCACTGACTTGTACCTGAATTCCCAACCGGCCAGTCCTCTCTGCTCGTGTCAAACTTGCCTGTTCCCACAATGGTGTAAGCCAGTTCCTTAAAATACACCTCTAGGTACACCAAGTAGAAATGATTGAACAAGTTAGACAAGACACAGATACATAGTTGTATTGTTTCAGTGAAGAGCCCTAATACAAACATTTGGGGTGCACCTTCATGGAACTTCCATGTTCCAAAAATGACATCAGTGAGGGGCAGTGAGTGTGGAGTCACTGCAAGCACTTTTGTGATGCTTTTCTCCCTGACACTGGCATGTTCGTCTATGTCAGAGCCACCACTAATTCCCAGTCTTCTTTTATGTGCTTGCAACAGGGAGAAATGAGAATACATGGAGTGACCAGAAAGGCAAAGGCAGTTTCCTTGACCTGTAATGCCCCAAGGTGATTCAGATTCCATCCCTATCAGCACAGCCACTGCCAGGGAAACGTCACCAACTTGGGAGACCAGCCACAGCCCATCTGTTGCCCATAGCCCAGTGCAGCGCTACCCAAGAGCTGAGAGGACAATCTAAAATAGATGCTCAGTTCAAGGAGACTCCAGGGGAGGCACACATGCCAGGGACATGGTGGTACCACTGCCGAAGGGACGTTCCAAGACTTCTGTTACTCAGAATGCATGTGTTGTTCCTACAATAATGTCTGTGGCCTTGGGGAAAATCTGGTTTCACCAAGCCGGTCTCACAGAAATGTGTGGCTCTGGGTCTGTTCTTGTCTCTCAAGAGAATATGTTTACAAGAGTAACTTATGAAGGTTATTTGTGACTCTAAGAACAGGTGCTTACATTATTTTATTAAGTGGTGGAGTTAAAGACCTAAGGACGTTTTCTTGCAACCAGCAAGAACATAGATGCCCCAAATAGCCCTCCACTTAAACTGAGCTCAACGATTTCAGCTGTGTAGAAATCTTTTATTAGACCATGCAGCAGAAGCAGAGTGTGGAGCCATCAGCAGTGGGCCCAATGACAAGCTTTTTTGTAAGCTTCTGGAGCTATGAGACCCAGCAATGGTGTGCCTGAGGGATGAGGTCATGAAAGATTTCAACCAGTCAACAATAAGAAAAAGGATAGGGTCAAGACTGATTTGCTTAATAATTCAAAGTCCAAAAGAGACAGTTACCACTACATTCATCTCCAGAGGTATTCTGGTCTTTCCTAGTAGAGAGCAGAGGTGAAAAGCAAAGACTCAAGCCAGCTGTGTGATCTTGGACAAATCACTTAACCTGTTTCCTTTAAACATGGGTTATTGAGGCTTTTGGCGTCATATCTGAGAAACTACTGCTTCACAAAGACTAACTACTTCTATTTTTTTCTTAAGAACTTTATATACTTTGGGTCTTTCCCACTTAGGC